GGATGTCTTGAACATTAATCTGGTTGCCCTTTCCTATGACGAATCCTTCTGAGTTGGTCAGTACCACACCTATACCTGCCCCCCCTTGTGTTCGAGGATCCATCAATATAAAGGTCCCAAACGTCATCACCTAGAGCCTGCGTCTCTTGTGGAGGCTCGGACGCAGAGAACTCGGAGATAAAATCTGTCAGAATCTGTCCTTTTATCGAAGTACGAGGTTTGTACCTGATCTCGAACTCCCCAAGCTCCACAACCCATTTGGCGATCCTCCCTGAAATATCGGCTCTGTGAAGGGTTGCTTGAGAGGCCGATCTGTTAGGACTTCTATGGGTGGGCCTGGAAATAGTGTCGAAGTTTCCTCGCCGAAACTAGTAATTTCAGATCCAATTTCTCCATTAGAGAATACCTTGTCTCGGCGTTGAGCAAAGTCTTGCTCACGAAATATACGGGTCTTTGTGCTCCTTTACTTTCTCTGACCAGCGCTCCACTCACGGCTCCTTCATATACTGACAAGTAAAGGTTAAGCACCTCCCCAGCCGCCGAGACAGATAGGGTTGGAGGATATCTCAAGTACTCCTTGATTCCTTCGAGAGCTCGGCCACACTCCTCATCCCATACTCTTTTAGCTGCCCCTTCCAACTTGGTAAAAAATTGTCTGCACTTATCGGAAGACTTGGAAATAAATCGGTTGAGGGCTGCCAATATTCCGGTCAATTTCTAGATATCCTTGGTAGTTCTAGGCGCCTGGACATTCTGTATTGCTCGTATCTGCCGGGGTTTGCCTCAATACCCCTGTAAGTGACTAAATACCCCAAGAACTTTCCTGAGCTTACCTAGAAAGCGCATTTCGAGGCATTCAGCTTCAGGCCATACTTCCGGAGGATGGCGAGCGTCGTCCCGAGATCATGAAGATGGTCGGCGCTCTCTTTGCTTTTAACCAACATATCATCTATATACACCTCCATGGTTTTGCCGAGCTGCTATTTGAAAATTTTGTTCATCAAACGTTGGTAAATCGCCCCCGCATTCTTCAACCCAAAGGGCATCACTGTGTAGCAGTAGATCCCCCGAGGTGTAGTGAACACCGTTTTCTCCTGATTCGATTCATGTAAGGGAATTTGGTGATACTCTGCCCGAGCATTCATAAAGGTGATTCGTTTGTGGCAGGCTGTTGCATCCACCAGCTGATCAACCTTGGGCAGTGGGTACTCGTCCTTGGGGCAAACCTTGTTCAAGTCCGTGAAATCCACGCAAACTCGCAATTTCCCCTCTTTTTTCTTGGCGCACACCGTGTTGGATAACCACTGAGGAAACTGTACTTCCTTGATGGAACTTGTCCCTAACAACTTGTCAACTTCTTCATCTACAACCTTCGCATGATGAGGCGCTGTTCTCCGGGCTTTCTGCCTAACGGGTTTGAACAATGGGCCCACATGGAGCCGATAAGTCATCACCTCGGCGCTTATCCCCGTCATCTCGGCCTGGGTTTATGCAAAGACATCGGAATTCTGGCATAGGAATAAGGCCATGTCAATCTTCTCGGCATCGTTGAGTGACTCCCCTATCAAAAAGTACCTCTCATCGCTATCTGGGCTCAAAAGAATTTTGACCAAGGCTTTGGTAGATCGGTCGGCTGGCTCCGTAATGGGCTCATCCACCCCCAGTCGACCGTACTGTGATTGCTATTTGGCAACCACTGCCTCAGGATCACGCTCCTGACTTCGGGCGCTCACTACAGTCTTTATTGCGGCATAGAATCAACTTTTTGCCGACGCTTGATCACCTCGGGCTTCCATTATGCCCTGCGGTGTAGGGAACTTAATCTTCTGGTGATAGGACGAGTGGACAGCCTTCATCGCATGTAACCACGCCCTATCCATAATAGCGTTGTACGGGAAGTCGGAGTCTATTACTACGAACTCAACTAGGGTGGTGACAATCCCCGTACGCACCATAAGGGTGATTTTCCCAAGGGGGAGGGCGCTAGAAGCATTGAAGCCAATGAGGGAGGTCTCTACGGGTTCTAAATCTCCTTATGAGAAATCTATTTTGCGGAAGAGGTGATCATACATCATCTTAGAAGAACTGCCCGAGTCCGCCAAGATTCTCTTGACATCAAATTTGTCGACCCGCAGAGTGATCACCAATGCATCCTCATGAGGGAGGACTATCCCACCGAGGTCTGTATCAGAAAACTGAATAATCTTGATGCTGCATCGCGACTTCTTGGAGGGTCGTTCCTCACCCCTCTCTTCCACTCTAACCGCTTGAGAGTCCTTTTGCAGCTCGGCACAGAGGGAGTTATACGTCGACCTTTCCACAGTACAGGCATGTAAGACATCAATCACGGGCACCACCTCAGCAGATGCCTCAGCTCTTTTCCTTGTTGATCCTTCGGAAGCCCCTCTATCTATGAATTTCTCGAGATGTCCGTCTCGTACCAGTTGTTCCAGGAAGGATTTATACACCTTGCAATCCTCTGTCAAATGGCCTATATCTCTATGATATGAACAACGGGAAGCTGAATTCCTCGTTGATGGATCTCCTAACATCTTGGGGGGCCACTTGAAGTAGTGTTCATTTTTTATCTTGTAAAACATCTTGTAAATGGGCTCTTTAAAGACCGTGTTCACCCCCTGAAAGGACAGACAATTTAGGGGTGGAACAGGTCCTTCCCTCCGAGCCGGTTGCTCCTTTTCTCTTTTTCTCAGCGCCGAGACTTTGTTCTCAGGCGTGCAGGATTCTTCTTCCACTCGGGCATATTTGTTGATCCGAGTCATTACGTCTTTCATGTCCACTGGAGCCTTCTTGGTCAGTGACTTGTATAAATCAGTGTCCCAGGACAACCCCAGCCTAAATGATGCCGTGGCCAGTGCCTCTGAACACGCCTCCACCTCGTTAACCTCCTCCCAGTACCGGATGGCATATTGCCGAAGGGACTCCCCTCCCTTCCACCTAAGTGTCAATAGAGCGCCAATGTCTTTCGACTTATTGCTACTAGTAACGACTCGAGCTATGAAGAGCTCCGTCAATTGTCTCCAGGACCTGATGCTTTCTGGGGCTAAGTTCTCGTACCATCGCATGCCTGTGTCCCCCAGGCTCATGAGAAAAACTCGGCACAACACCTGTTGATCGGTATCGTAGATGGATATCAATTGTTTGAACTGCCGTAAGTGACTCTAGGGATCGGTCCTTCCACCATAGATTTTGAACCCTAGGACGGTAAACTTCGTCGGCATCAACCTCGGGCTCAGGGTTGCAATAAGCGGCGCAGCGCATCCAGGGATCCCCCGGGGTTTTTCTTCTCGAGGCCCCCTGGGTGTAGACTCTGCTTGTGACTCGGCGGCTCCGATGTCCTCGAGTATCCCCCGACGGAGGTCCCGCTGAGACAGACTTGCTTTTTGGCTCGATTTCGATTTTTCCTTGGGGGCCGAGCATCCACTTTGATGGTTACGCCCCTCGGGCGAGTGCTTAAGCCTACCTTTCCTGGAGGCCCTTTGCCAGGGATGCCTAGAGACGTTTTGATTGAGGCCCTGGTCCTCGCGCCCACGGCTTCGCCCACTCGCGCTAGTTGACTACTCAAAATCGTCGAGCCGTCGCCGGACCTTGGCATTTTCCTTTTCAAGTTGCATAATGCGTTTGCCCATCCACTTTTCCACCATCTCAACGATATCACGAGCCAAGAGTTCGTGTCCCCCAAGGCCTTGATCCACAGGGAGCGTTCGTTGCGAGGAATACTTCCCTCCACCTGACTGGCTCAATGGACCCGATTCTAGGACCATCGGAAGCTGGACAGGCTCTGCGTTCCTTACACGCACATTTGCTCCTTCACCCTGAGATCGAGTGTTTACCATTAGACAATCGCTACGGGGAAAGATGCTTGCCTTCCCACAGACGGCGTCAAATTACACAGGATAATTCTTGCAATCGTTTGAGATAGCGACCTCTAACCTGATGAACTTGAAACAATCATAGGGTCAGAAAAAGGGGGCCAGGTGAACACTCGACTTATCCCCTCCGAAGCTTAAGTCTGTCTCAAGATTCGAGATTCAAGCTCAATGAATAATCTTTTTCTGGTTTAATCTTGCGTACTTTTGTTCATTTTTCGGAGGAGTATTTATAGCTGAATTAGTAATGATTGTCAAAGACCTCCAGTCCCATCTGGAAATGTAATGTCTGACATGCCACTCTTCGCGCAATGAGTGTTCTCCACTCACGTCTTCTCCTACCCAATGCTAGGATGATGGGACGAGTGTTCGGCTCCATGCCGAGCATTTATGCCCTTCCCCGAGTATCCACATTTCTCAGATCGGCGTTTGACACCCGCAACTGAGCATTGAATACTCGAGAGAACAGTTCCTCGGGGAGAGTTGATCGTATATATTCGGCATAGGAGCTATTAATGCCTAGCCATCATGATGATAGGCCTAGGCTCTCAGAGTGCAGGCGCTCCCAGGCGCACATTTAATAGCCTTGTCACCATTACTCATTCCGTCATAAATGAGATGTCACATCGTATTAAATGTGCTGCCAATTGTCATACTCAGATCCTCCGGGACACCATACCTCGGCTTACCTCCTCAGCGCCTTTTGGGCATCACAATGGCTTCGTCATTCCACGTGTCAATCTGGGGGCTGTAAAGCCACCTAGAGTCCTGCTACATACCTAGTTTAGTTCAATGGTAAAAGAGGATTTAACAAGTTTTGGAGCTCAGCATATGGCCACTTTCCCCATGTTAGCGGTGTCTCTGGTATAGGTGGTTAGCAATAGACTACAGACTGTCTTCGGTTATAACTACACCTGTAAGGCATTTGCAACCTACTAAACTATGCTATCACAGAAATTGGTCAGAGTGAAAAAGGCACAGTACAAAAATCGCACGGTTGAATAAATATAGTAAATTTTTTGTTCTATTTTATTTACATGACTTGGGGGGATATAATACTTGGCTCATCTCAATTGCTTTGATGAGAAATTGTTGTGCTAAGTAATGCAAAGAATGTGTAACTGGCCTCCTACTACTAATAGTGGCCCCCTTGATCACATGAATGATTGTAATCATCTGACCCTTATAATTTTGTGCAGAAAGCTTTATGAAAATTTTAGTCTTGATATTATTTTTTTACAATAAATGCAATTTTGTGAGACCAAAGAGATTCAAAACCTTCATTTGCAGAAAAAGTTGGAGGACCATCTGTTGAAGTGCAAAAGGAACGATCTGCAAGTTTGAAGCCTTTGAGAGAGAAGACATCAAAGGCTGAAAGGCGTGCCCTTCAAGAGGCTCAACGAGCCGCAAAAGGTGCACACTGCTTCTTTGGATCAATAAATAGTTATTTTAATGGATTGAACTTCTTATGCTGGTAAATCTGTATCTTAGCCTGTTGAGTGCTACGAGTGTTTCCTTGCTTTATATGCTACTGCGTGGTGTTGGTATTAATTGCTCTGCATATTAACTATGTTTTGGTGGCATTAATTGCTCTGCATATTACAAGCCTGTGTCACAGCCAACACTTAAAGCTCGAGGCACTTGTGAGATGTGCCTCTTACCTGGAGTTTATGGATCACTCTGCAATGTCATATATATTCCTGGAGTTCTATATGCCTGAACTAGTGTCCAAATTGCGCAACATTGCATTTGTATCCTCATTTGCCATATTAGAGTGACATTTTGTATGTTTTCCAATGTGATCTATTGATAGCTGAAGGAAGTAAGGCTCCTGTGGCCACTTCTGGAGTGCTTTCAACAAATGCAGCTCCGGCAAAAGCTACAAAGGCTCCCTCACAAAAGAAAGACAGTTCTCCAGGTGCAGCTTCTGAGAGAAGAGGAGGAGGTGATCGTCCACCAGATAAAGAGAGGAAGAAAGATGTCCCTCATCCTCGCATGCAGTTTGATGACAAGAGTCGAGTGGAGAAGGCAAAAAAGCGTTCAGTAGTGAAACAAACTGAAGCTAGGAATAGAGTTGAACTATTTAGGCATTTGCCTCAATATGAACATGGAACACGACTTCCTGAACTTGAGTCAAAGTTCTTCCAACTTGATCCAGTTCATCCTGCTGTCTACAAGGTAGTTGCAGAAAACATTTTCTCATACTTTCAGCTTTTGTTGACATTCGTTAAAGTTGTATGCTTACAATTCAAAAGTCAGTAAAGGTCACCAACTTTAGACGTTTCTAACTCAGCTATTTCTTGTTCAGATGTTTAAAGTTGGATGTCCAAGTTACAGTCAGCTATTATATCCTTTCTGATATGGTCGTGATTAAGACCGTTGATCTAGCTCATGCATTGCAAAATTAAATCTCTCTTGTTTTACGTGCTTCATGCTAACTATGGCTCTTTATATTTCTAATCAGGCTGGGCTAAGATATTTAGCTGGTGATATATCTGGTGGCAATGCCCGTTGCATTGCTATGCTTGAAGCATTCCAAGAGTCAATTAAAGACTACTCAACCCCACCTGAGAAAGCTCTCATTAGGGACTTGACTGCGAAGATAAATTGTTATGTGTCTTTCCTGATTGAATGCAGGCCCCTTTCGATCAGCATGGGGAATGCAATTAGGTTTCTTAAAACTCGAATTGTCAAATTACCTTTGACTTTGTCGGAGTCCGAGGCAAAAGCAACTCTTCTGTCAGATATAGATCGTTTTATAAATGAGAAAATAATTTTAGCAGATAAGGTGATAGTCAGGCATGCTGTAACAAAAATCAGGGATGGGGATGTTCTTCTCACATATGGCTCATCGTCTGCCGTCGAAATGATTTGTTTGCATGCCCATGACATTGGCAAACAGTTCCGTGTCGTGGTAGTAGATTCGCGTCCAAAGCTTGAAGGACGACTATTACTTCATAGGTTGGTCAGAAAGGGTATCACCTGTACATATACGCATATAAATGCTGTCTCTTATATCATGCATGAAGTTAATCGAGTTTTTTTGGGGGCTTCATCGGTGTTGTCTAATGGAACTGTCTACTCAAGGGTTGGGACTGCCTGTGTTGCTATGGTTGCTCATCAATTCCATGTTCCCGTCTTAATATGTTGTGAAGCATATAAATTCTACGAGAGGGTGCAGCTTGATTCAATCTGCTCTAATGAACTGGGTTTGCTTTCTGATTACCGTTTATATTGGAGTTGTTTTTTGATGTTATGGATGGTCTTGCACTATCCCTGTCATTTAAGCAGGTCAGTAATCCACTTGATGTGTTGCAGGTGATCCAGATGCCATTTCAAAGGTTCCTGGTAGAAAGGAAATCAACTATTTGGATGATTGGGCTAATAGGGAAAATCTACAACTCCTGAATCTAATGTAAGTATTATTCTATTCTTGACTCGTTTATTCAGTTTGTTGCAGCTGACCATAGAAGAATAGGCTCATATTTTGGTTTTCATTGTGCCAGTTATGATGCAACACCTTCAGATTATGTGTCAATGATCATCACAGATTATGGCATGGTAAGTCACATTATAATTGCTAAGTGCTTTGTATTGAATCATAATTTGAGCTATGTATGGTTGGCATGAACATATATGAGCTGCATTCTAACTTGGAACTTGCAAAAATATCATATCATAAGTTGGTACATATTTTTGTGTACTGATTCATTCTTTTGCTTACCATTTAATACTATTAATGTTATCCAGATCCCTCCTACAAGTGTTCCTGTCATAGTTCGAGAATACCGCAAAGAACACTTATGGATTTAGGGAAGTCGTTGGCAAATCATAGAGGTGTTTCAATTTTTGGGTACTGATGGGATAGTGAAGCTTCAACAGAAATTGTGTTACTAGTTTCTTCTCTCCATTCTTCCTTTTGGACCAGTGTTACATGTCTTATTATATGACGTGTCTGATACTTTGGGTACTATTTTTCCTCCTGACTCCGTGAAGAGTGCGATTTACCCGCCTCTCCGGACAGTTTTAGGAAATGCATTTTTAATGATGTAGTGAGTTTTTCCGCCCCCCTCCGATAGTTCAAACTGATCATCGAGTGATTAAGCCAATGTGATGATTTTTCTTTTGAAGGAAGAGTTGGAACAAGGCTTTGTTGTATTTAATTTTAATTGTTATGTGGTTTTCAGGCTTTTCTTATTTAGGTCTTTCAGACTCCTAGAGCCAAGTCAATGGATTGTTGATTTTTGGTGAGCACAGCATCATTGAAATAGGGTGTGTTTCGTTTTGTTCCCGAAAACTGTTTTTGTTCCCAAAATTTTTAAAACACTAAAAACCTATTTGTTTAATATTTTTGTTCTCAAATTTTTGAAAAAAAATGAGATTTAGAGCACAAAAACAGAAAATAAGGTTTGCTTGTTTTCTATTACATTTCTTGAAAATTTTGAAAACATGGAGACAGATTGGCTTGAAAATTTTAACGAGGTTTGTCCTTCAAATCCCCTAAACAACAAAAAACTTCCTCCTTTTTTTTTTCTCCTTCCCTTCTCTCTCTCTCTCTCCACTTAGTCTAGTGTCTTCTTCTCTAGTGTCTTCTTCAGTGTGCTTTAAATTTGTCTCTCTCCTCTTTCTCCATTGTGCTTTAAATTTGTCTCTCTTTCTCTGTCTTTTGCAACAATTGTAGATTTAAATCTACACATATCTCTATGTGTGTGTGCGCGTGTGCACGTGTGTTTTGTGGAGACAGAGAGAGGGGAAAGAAATAGAGAGGTGAAAAGTATGATTATTGTCTAAATAGATTTTATAATTTTTGTTCTTTAAAATTATTTTAAAAAATATATAACCAAACAAGTTTTGTAATCTAAAAAATTTTAAAAAATATTTTCTTAAAATTTTTTCAAAAAAATTTTCGAATACTATTTTTTGAGATACAAATTAAATAGGACCTTAATTTTCATTTGGTTTCTGGATTTTGGATTTCAGATGCCCAAAACTACAGGTTTAAAACTTCATGCGATCCCGTGGATGTTAGCATTTCTTTTTTGGTAAAACAGTGTGTTCACCATTTCTTGTGGAGAGGTCGAGTTGGTTTAAGGGTCCTGTTACTTGACCCGAAGCCTGATAGTTGGCTCACCCAAGTCTAAGTCCTAGTTCAATATCCTTCAAGAAAGAGTTTAGACTTGCCCTCAAATTCATTACCCAACATGAACTTAGCCCATGTTTTTTGATACATTTCTAGGAAATTTTGAAAACACGGAGACAGATTGGCTTGGAAATTTTAATGAGGTTTGTCCTTTGTGTCCCCTTAACAGCAAAAGACTTCCTTCTTTTTTTTTCCCTTTCCCTCTCCCTCTCCCTCTCTCCACTTAGCCTATCCCGTGGATGTTAGCATTTCTTTTTTGGTAAAACAGTGTATTCACCATTTCTTGTGGAGAGGTCGAGTTGGTTCAAGGGTCCTGTTACTTGACCCGAAGCCTGATAGTTGGCTCACCCAAGTCTAAGTCCTAGTTCAATATCCTTCAAGAAAGAGTTTAGACTTGCCCTCAAATTCATTACCCAACATGAACTTAGCCCATGTTTTTTGATACATTTCTAGGAAATTTTGAAAACACGGAGACAGATTGGCTTGGAAATTTTAATGAGGTTTGTCCTTTGTGTCCCCTTAACAGCAAAAGACTTCCTTCTTTTTTTTCCCTTTCCCTCTCCCTCTCCCTCTCTCCACTTAGCCTATCCCGTGGATGTTAGCATTTCTTTTTGGTAAAACAGTGTGTTCACCATTTCTTGTGGAGAGGTCGAGTTGGTTCAAGGGTCCTGTTACTTGACCCGAAGCCTGATAGTTGGCTCACCCAAGTCTAAGTCCTAGTTCAATATCCTTCAAGAAAGAGTTTAGACTTGCCCTCAAATTCATTACCCAACATGAACTTAGCCCATGTTTTTTGATACATTTCTAGGAAATTTTGAAAACACGGAGACAGATTGGCTTGGAAATTTTAATGAGGTTTGTCCTTTGTGTCCCCTTAACAGCAAAAGACTTCCTTCTTTTTTTTTTCCTTTCCCTCTCCCTCTCCCTCTCTCCACTTAGCCTAGTGTCTTCTTCTCTAGCGTCTTCTTCAATGTATTTCAAATTTGTCTCTCTTTCATCTCTCTCTATTTTATTTTAAATTTGTCTCTCTTTCTCTGTCTTTTGCAACAATTGCATATTCAAATTTACACGGATTTCTGTGTGTATGCGTGCATGCGCACGTGTGTTTTGTGGAGATAGAGAGAGGGGAAAGAAATAAAGAGGTGGAAAGTGTGATTATTGTCTAAACAAATTTTATAATTTTTGTTCTTTAAAATTATTTTAAAAAATATATAACCAAACAGATTTTGTAATCTAAAAATTTTAAAAATATTTTCTTAAAATTCGTTTCAAAAATAATTTTAGAATACTATTTTTTGAGATGCAAATTAAACAAGACCTTAATTTTCATTTGATTTTTGGATTGTGGATTTCAAATGCCCATAACTACGAGTTTAAAACTTCATGCGATCCCGTGGGTGTTAGCATTTCTTTTTTGGTAAAATAGTGTGTTCATCATTTCTTGTGGAGAATCATCGGAAACGGGTGTCCAACTCAGTTGGCTCACCTAAGTCTAAGTTCTAGTTCAATATCCTTCAAGAAAGAGTTTAGACTTGCCCTCAATTCATTACCCGACATGAACTTAGCCCATGTGTCCACTCACAAAAATCCATTAAAATTCGATCCAAGAATCCGCCTGCCGTTCCACTTTTCACCTAATTGTTTGAAAAAAATTGACAATTAAATTTTAAAAATTTGATGGTAATATATGATTTTATTTTATTTAAATAATTCATTTATTTATTTTATATTTTATTTTAATTTAAAATTTTAATTTACAAAAATATTAAGTTAAATTTTTTTTAAATAAAATTATATCTATAATATAAAACATGGCAATTTTAATAAATAAATCCAACGGTCTCAAATTAATTCGTCTAACTGTAACCAACAACTTTCTCAAAAATAATTCAAATTAAATTTAATTTTTTTAAACGGTACAGATTTCATTTAATTTCATCTAACGGTTAAAAATTCATCGCTGACAAAAAAAAAATTACACCCAAAACAATTTCTACACACTACCCAACACTTACACAGTTACACGTTGCCCAAACCCATCAAACTCTTTCTCGCACACAATCCCAGACGCTCCCTTCTCTCTCTCTCTTTCTTTTCCAGAATACCCATCTCAGAGCCCCTCTTTCTGTCTCTCTCCTTCTTGCTGCTCTGTCGTGCCTCAACCCACCGCCATTCAACCTATAATCGATGAAGTCCAGGTACTTTTTTTTCTCTCTCTCTCCAGTTGAACACATACAAAGGCAGTGACGAGGGAGAGAGAGAGAAAAAAAAAGTTCTCATTTCCAGTTGAACACAAAGAGCCTCTCTCTCTCTCTCTCCAGTTGAACACTCGGTCAAGAAGTTCTCATTTAATCTTTTAATATTTTCCCCCAATTTCATCTCATCCAATTTTCTCTCTCACCCTCCCTTAAAGTCAAGACACCATCAGGCCTTCGTTCTCTCTCACCATCTCCCCCTCCCTGTTATCTCTCTCTCTCTACCCACGATTTTCCATCACCACAGTCTCACACCACTATCACAACCACCAACCCTTCATCCTCTCCCCCCACCACCACGCCAACCCACTTTTTCCTCCTTTCTTACTCAACTTTGGGTTATAAATCTCTCTCTCTCCCCACTCGATGAATAGAGATTCAGCGACGCACAACCCATTCCAAAGAATCACTAACTGGCCCACTCCGACAATAACAACCTAAACTCTGCATCACTCTTTCACAGGTATCTCTCTCTCTCTCTCTCCAAGATTTGCCATCAAGACAGCCCCACACCACTATCACAGCCACCACCCCTTCATCATCTCCCTTCACCACACCAACCCCACCCTTTAGGGTTTGGTGTCAATTGGGCCTAAACCCAGATTTTATGGCTTATTTTGATTTTGATTTAGGGCTTTTTAGGTGTGTTACAAAATCCTTCAGATAATTGCAATTGGATTCTCAAATATGTTTACAACAATGGTTTTATAAATCTAAATTTCAACCATCAATGTCTTTCTCTACTTTATTTACTAACATTTTTTCTCTTTGTGTTTATTGAGGCCATTTACAACATAAAGATAAGAATTTTTTATTTTAGTCATTTTTTTAAATAAATGTTTCTCTCTCTCTTTCCCTCACTCTCTCTCTCCCTCCCTCTCTGTTAAGCCACCTTCACCCCAGCAACACCCCCACCCCCACCCCCACCCGTCCACTTACACAGAACACACACTCACACACACACAGAGAACACATATCACACTTATACACTGAGTTTTCTTGTCAAGTGTTAGTTTATTTCTCT